CCTCCTCCTCCTCCTCCTTCTTCTTCTTCTTCTTCTTCTTCACCTCAGGTGCTCAGTCACCACGGATTGATAACAGTTACAAATATGCATTAATTCTAAAAAGTTTAATTAAAAATAGACGATTTTAACTAAATATTTAGATCTGTGTGTAGGCAATTACAGTTTGTTTTATTATGATATTTGGCAACAGTAAGTATGAAAAAGTTTGATTGTTTAGATATGTTATTACATATGTGGCATACAATTCCTATTTTAAATTAATGTGAGAGAAAACATGGCATGTTAAGAATTAACTTTAAAGTTGACCGAAATGAAAATGGATACATATTGAGGATATATTCCTAAGTGAAATACATAAGTCACACAGGTGTAAATACTGAATAGTTTCTCTGGTGTGAATAAACTGTAATAGTACATAAGATCCTAATGAGATAACTGACATTGTGAAATGGGAAGAAAAGGGCTAAAGGTGTAGGGAAGGTGGGATGGGTAGGGGAAAGGTAATAAGGGAAAAGAAAAAAATGTGAGAAAATGAAAAAATGGAAATAAAGTGTTTGTAAATGGGGAGGGAGGAGGGGGTGAATGGAGGGCAGGGACAAGGGGAAAAATGAGAACCAAGACCTGTCATGTAGAGATACAAGATCCCAACAATGAATGTAACTGTACTGTATCCCTAAATGTACCAATAAACTCAAGGAGGAAAAAATAAATAAAGTTGACTGCATTTGACTTTGGGATGCCATACATTAAAAAGTAAACTAAAGTTTATCACACAGTTGTTCAAATTTTAAAAATCTGATTTTAGATGTTTGGAATTTTTATGCATAAACACACAAAATTTAAATCAATAAACTTACTCATAATATTTGAGTTTTCTTTAAGACTGAGGAAATAAAAGAGTGGGTTTTGTATCTTTATTTGTAGGTGCATTAGATAAAAATTGTGAGTAGAAACATACAATTTACTGATCTCGAAGGAAGTTAATAACATTATTTTCCTCATTAGGTTATATTTTGACATCAGTGTTCTCCATCCTTCCCATCTTTACCTAATGGCTCATTGGAAGTATAAATAAAGCAGCATATGACTACAAATTAAAGTTTGAAATTGTCTAGTGATCCAAACCACCATGCTGACCAATGATATTCAGCTGAGTGCTAAACTGAGCACCGTGAATTAAGCACTCGCTCATCTGATAAAAATTAGTCCCTAAATATCTCACCTGATATTTATCCAGAGCTCCAAACTGTGCCTTTTGCAAAATTTAAGCAATTACTTTATTTGTCAATCCCAAAGTAGAAATCGGAACTGATTCCATTCTGACGTTCAAACGGCAGCTAGTTGGCAAGGTGTGAGCAGTGATTCACCCCTACCTCCCAGCTCTAACACGAAGTGGCTCCAGTCAGGAAAGTATGGCTGTCCTAGGCCAGTTTATTAAATTAAACCCTAAGTAAACAAAGAGAAGGGCAAGAAAGAGGAGACGACTTAGAGAGAAATCAAAACAGATAAATAAAGACCCCTCAGATCAGGTAAGACCACGGGCATTAGCATGGATCTGAAGTGTACTCCATTCGTGTACATTCTGTCAAGATTCAGCACCAGTGATGATGATTCTCTTGCTCTCTACCATTTTCTACTGGAAGAAATGTAGTAGCCTTAAGGAAAATAGCACAGAAGGAAAAACAGAGTCAACCATAATTCCATGTGCAGAACCCATTTTAAGATTCTAACTTGTTACACTCACATCTAGTTTATTTTTCCTCTTTTAAAGTTCTTTTATTAGTATATGTTTGCAAAGTACAAGATTTTCGTTCACCTTGGAGAATGAGTCCATACACATACACACCATAATCATCCTACTTCTCCTTCTCCTTCCTGCCCTCCTGTCTCTTCCCACCCTCACATCACCTTCCCACCTCTACAAAATCTCCCTCCCTGTTTCTTATCATGACACAGCTAGTTTAAAAACAGGCTTCTGACCTTGTGCTCAGTCTCAGAGCCCCAGTACTTAAAACTGCCATGCCGCCGCCAATGACAGACCAAATGCATATACAGGTGAAGGGGTTTCATTCAATTCCTCTTCCTGCTACTTTGCTCAGACTGCATTATGACAATAAGGATTACTCTGATAGAATCATCTCTCCCCGCAGCTTGTGAAACCACTGGAGACCAAGCACATGTTATTCATCTTTGTATCCCTAGCACCTACTACTGTGCTTGGAATGCAGTAGAGTCTTAATAAATATTTGTGGAATGAATAAATAATAATCACTGCCATTGACAGAATGACTGTTTTATTCCAGCACCATGCTAGAGGGCTAATGTGAAGTATACAGATCAATCTGCCCAACGATCCTGTAAAGTGAACATAAATAAATATTCCAAAATTATAAAGAAAGAAAAATAGGCAGAAAGAGTTTGTAAATAACACAATTAATCCCGGATTGATTGAATTCCAAAGTCTGACATTCTGGATATATGTGGCTACCCCCATATAGTTATTAACGTGTATTTTAAAAGTATGTAAATAAATGGATTTGGAAAAACCTAAGCATTTCATTGAATTTTCATTTATTTGGAGATCTTTAGAGGCAGGCAGTCTTTTCTGTGAGGAAAAGGGAGTTCAGTAACAGTGATCTGAAGAAATTAAAAATTCCTGTTGTTTTCAGAAAAAAAAAAAAACAGAGCTGGACGGTGAAGTGATCAAAAGAGACTTGATTCAAAACTAGTGCAATGACACAGAACAACTTCACACTGGGCCCAAGTCTGAAGACAGCATACTCCGGTGGGGACTTACAGGCAAGAAGAGTGGGCCAAAAATTACTAAGAAAATTACTAAGAGAAAACAGTCAGAGGTGGAGGTGGGGATTCTAGCTAACTCAACTTCACAGGACTCTTGCTGAAGGCTGTCAGATGAGCAGAGGTCACCTGGAGATGGTGAGAGATGAATTCAGTCAAATAATGAGGTGCTCTGGTATCAAGTATGAGGAGCACTATCTAAACCAGCTTGGCAAAAATGTTTGCTCCTTTTAGAAAATGTAGGGTTGGACACCAATGCCAGGACCTCATGGGCTTAAAGGAACCTGATTGGACTTCAATCAAACAAGCTGTCTGGCTATCACAAGTGTAGGAAAATGGTTACTCTTATAATTAATCATTCTCCAGAATTGTAGTAGAGGATAGGACTTCAATGAATAGCACAAGCATTTCCCATAAGGACAGAATTCAAGTTTCAACTTTACTTCTTTGTGTTGTGGTCTAGATTTAGCCCATATAAATTAACAAGATAAGTACCGTGTTTTTATTGCTAATGAAAGATTTTGCCTGTGTTCCAGTCTTTGATTTGCATGGTGGTCACTTATATGTGAAATATTCTAAGGCCCAGTGGTATCTCCCTTAGTTTTTTCTACCACTTTTGTGTTCCTGGTACCTGCTTTGAATATACAAAGTAAAATAAAATCCACATTTGTAAGGCTGATATGTAGCGCTCATTGTTTTCTTCTTTGATCTCTGACAGAAACGAACCAATAGAAATAAAGCACTTTGCTGGCATCTTACAAAAAGTCATTGTTGACTGTACACACAGTCATTGACACACACTTGCTTGGTTTGGTATTGGTTGAAATTGTTGCAGCTGGATGCAGTCCAAGAGACTGTTATTTTTTTCCCGAGAGTTAGAGGCTATTCGGAGATTGTGGAAGTATGTGATTTTCATAACATTTTTGCTTGTGAGACTCTCTTTTTTTCCAGGGAAAGGATCATCTCTTAAGTCTTCTTCATGTATGTACTACTGGCTTGACCATGATAAAGTCAAGTTCTTCTTTCATTGATTCAATAGTACAGAATAAGATGAAATTAAATGCATGCATTTTCCAGCTGATTTCTAATAATCACAAACCTGTCAATAGAATGTAGAAACAAACTGTTTACTTGTTTTTAAATGCTGTATTGTCTTTTGATTGATACATCTCAATAAGTGAAGTATGAAAAACCCTGGAGTGCTGCGCTTCAGTGGATGAAGCATTTTTGTCCCATAGGAGAAAAGTTGTAAAGTTCTAGTCAATGATGCTGTACTGAATAGTTGTTAAGAGGATAGATTTTTCTGTTCTGTGGAGATTTTCTTGCTTTGTTTTATTTTGCTTTGTTTGAGTTGTTTTTACCACTGTGAAACAGAACAGCTTAGGAGCTGTGACCTGCAACCCTGGAAGAAACTCTACTTGGTTAATGTGCAAAAGCGTCCTGAATTACCTGTCCCCAGTTCAGTGCTGAAGGGTTAGATACCTCCCCAGGTCCTGAAGCTTCAGCAGGCTGTCTTCCTTAGCACCGATGATTGGTGTGGACCTGCTGGTGATCAGGGAGGACTCCGGTGATCAGGGAGCACAATTCACTGAGTAAACAGTGCTGAGCTAACAAAAGGGCATTGTGGTGTGTTTGGCACTGTCCCACAGGCATTTCTGGCTTGGAGTCAGCTTGTTCAACACTGACTATGATGTTAGGTATCAGGCTTCATGCGTTTTGTTGAATAAATGGAGTAGGCTTTAGTCCCTTATTTTGTTCCTTTGTGAAAATGTTTAAGATGTATCTAAAAAGATAAAATGTTCTCATGGTATAGGTTGGCAAATTAGAGCTAATTTATTCACAGTGAATTATTTCCCTTTCACGACCATTGTTTATAAAACATCTCTTGATGTAGTAAAAATATCAAAACAAATCTTCAAGATACAGGGACAAAACTTGCTCAGGAATGATACTTCCTGTTATAATTCATGGAAGGAACTACAGAATTCTCTATAAGGTTATCTTTTGGGCACTGATTCCAGCTTTTATGCCCCATGACTACAGTATGAAAAATAATTTAGAAGAGTCATGTTTTTAGCTGTGTAGAAGAGTGAAAACATTGGGAGGCCAGCCTGAACTGCATAGCAAGGCCCTGTCTCAAAAATCCAAAAAACAAAAACTTGAAAACAAGTTTGACATGGAAGAATAAATTCTCGCCCATATATTTGTTAGTGTGACTCTAGTGAGGTCAGATACTGGCAAGAAGGATAAAAGGATAAAAGTCAGGGCAGAGAGATTGTTTTCTAAATGCGTACTACAACATGAAAAAAGTCAAGAGCTTTATAACTCAACCATAGTTTGTATAATGTTAAGATATATCAATTTCCATTCAGTTGAAAAAAATCATTTGATTCTATTAGTTTTTACAAAATCACTGTCATGTGTTTTCATTACAATTAAGGCCACTTGGTATTTCACAAGGAGGGATTTCAGCGTGGTTTCCTTTCTATGACCATTCAGAATTGACAACAATATCTCTACAACTTTACCCATAACCTATGATTGTTTTTACCACTCCCGTGCCACACAACTTGTATTTTACCATGCATTGTCTGATTCTATTGCAATGTGTTTTATTTAAAAGTTTTACTTTCCCAAAAAATGTAGAAGTTCCTAATGATCTCCATCCAAGTACCTTTCCCAGAGACTTATACTTCTCTAAGCAATTTACATACTCTCCAGTGCAGGTTGATGGTCTTACTCACTACTGAATTTCCATGTGTAGCACGGTGATTAGCACATACATAGTAGATGTTGAATACACATTTCTTCAATCTGTGAGTGAATGAGTAAAGAGAACTAAGCTCAGATGTAACTTCTCAGTGGTGTTTGCCTTCATCCATGTATTTGAAATTTAACAAATCGAGAGAGGTCAAACAGGCTCTTTAAAACAGTGCCATTCAGGATCACTTAATAAATGGTCAGTGTTCAGAGGATTTTAATAAGTTAATGTGGGGGATACTGTTAAGATATAGTATAATACTGATAACTTGAAATAGATTGATCAAAATAAGATATTTTGTTTTAGTGTTAAATATCGTCCTGCTTTCAAGATAGAAAATAGAAAACATCTTTGATAAATTAGAACAATTTAATAGTTGTCATATTTCTATATTCCACATTAAAAATTGTGCCTAGATATATATTATGTATTATATTATATGTATGCTTAGATAAACATGTATCTATACTTTTTACATATATATTCTATGGGTATGTACATGTATGTATGTGTGCATTTGTGTGCACCTACACACACACACACACACACACACATCCCTCCACAAATATGCTTGGTCCTCTTCCAAACCTTACATCTCACAAATTGGAATTGCAGGATTCTCCCCTAATCATAAAATTATTTATTTTTACTTAGGCTAATCCACGATTAAAATTCCATTTCTCTCGGGTTTCTGTAAATCAACAGTACACCAGAAAGCATTCCCTTTCCTGCTACTCCAAGGAAGGCTTGGAATGCAAAGAACTTGAAGGGAAAACACGGCCAGATGGAGATTTCTGAGCCTTTGTGGGCTGCTAAAAAACAGATCTTTAGCACAAACACAAACCCAAGTTTTTGTATTCCTAAAGCAAGGATTTTTATGTAATGCCAAGGAGCTCACTTTGATTTTGTTTGTTTTGGCAAAAGAAACAAAAAACTGCTTTAATCAGATAGTCATTATTTTGTAAAGGGACTGTATGAAAATTATGGGGATAGCTTTGACCTCACTAGTGATTAACTATAGTTCCTCAAAGTAACTTTTCAACAGAAATTCAACAACTAAATCTTCTCTGACATCATTATTTTCTAGATCTAGAATAAAAAGCTTCATTGGTATTTTTATAATGCAGTATATATTGTAATTACAGTTGTTCAGATGCAATACTTTTTTCAAAAGAATGACAACTGGTAATTTTTGTCAGTGATTTATGAGATCGTTTCCTTAAAAAGGTAGAACTACGACATATCAAGATTTAAAACATAAATATCTTGGAACAATCAGAAGAACAACATGGGAGAAACTGAGAAAAGCATTGAAACTCATAGAATAAGATGTCTTTCCAAGGTGAAGGTATGGACTTGTGTGTGTGTGTGTGTGTGTGTGTGTGTACAGTATTTTTTAACTCAGTCTCTGTAAAAGTGCTTTAGCTACATAAAGTTATCTAATACTAATATCATACTACCTGATCTATTAATAGTATTTTGCTTTTAAAAAGTTGTTGGTTTTATTCATTTGTACTGTACATAGTATTTTAGTACTGAAGATCTATTGGAATCAACAACAGCCATGTAGGACTTAAAATGACTGCTCATTTCTCAGTGTAAACAAAGTATGCATACAAAATAACAAAACTGGAGCTACTTACAAAATTCACCCCCACTAATCAATTAACCCTACTTTGAGTTCTGGGGAGGAAAAATAATGTCATGACATAAGAACAGAATACATTTAAAGCTTCCTGCAAGTTTAAGAGTTAAGTTGGAGCAGAATATCAGGCTTGAAGTAGAGGATATTTTGCCAATAGATGCCAAATACATGATCTAAATATAAAACTTGTATGTTTCTTGTTTTTTTTCTCTTCCTAGATGTTTCTGTTGGCATTAACATGTGCGTATGTGTCCAAAACACTATCTGGATCTTATATGAATTCCATGCTCACACAAATAGAGAGACAATTCAATATCCCGACCTCTCTAGTTGGATTTATTAATGGGAGTTTTGAGATTGGTAATAAACTATTTTTTGATTACTTCTTTTTGTATCTTATCTATGGATCTGGTCAGAATTCTGTTCTCTCTATTGCCTTTGGCTATTTTAGTCTGACTGAGTTATATGTCTTCTAAAACTGAATTGACTGACTAAGCTTGGAATATGCTTACAAGCAATTCAAATATCACTTCATATTAATCATCTTGTATCCTACCACTTTCCTTTTTATTATGAGTTTCTTGGTTTTCTGCCAAAGAGCATTATCTGGCAGAGTATTTAATGTATATTTAAATTTATGATTCAGTAATCCAAAGGGAAACTAAAGTTTCTGTCTTTGTATTCAGAAAGTATTGAGGGAGAACAAAGAAATTGTATTATTCTCAAGGGAAAAGCAATTTTTTTTTCCTTTTGTGTCTGAAAGATTGACAGCTCTTTCTACATGCAGAACATCAGGAGGGAAAAAAAGCCCTGCTTTCCTGACTCTCTGGACTTTATTTCAGAACCAGCACTTAGGGAAGAATAAAGTTTACTTTTCACTTCTGATTTGGGGGGATGACTGGAAAGTTGTGAGGACAGAGGGAAGGAAAGATTTCTTTGCAAACAAGGCTAAATAGAAATATTGGTGCTGCTCTTTGCTAGTTGTGTAATAATTTTGACTTCTTTCAAGGGGAAAATCGCCTTTAATCTATTTAATGGAAAATCATGATCAAGGAGAAGCAAAACTGAAATAAGTGATGCTTCGTCCTGTCCCCTGGGTGGTCAGGTTCCTCAAATCTTAGTCCTTTCCACGTCCTAGGTCCTGGAAACACAGAACTAACTTCTCAGGTAGTCCTTGTATAGACTCATCTCATGGTCTGCGGCGGGCATAGGTGTAAACGAATAATCTTGGTGTGGCCCAAATGGTTCTTCTATATATGTAAGGCCTAATAGGACCAAAGCAGAAAACACAGCCCCATTTAAGGAAGACAAGCCCCTGAAGGATGAGTAAAAGTTTTCCAAGTGGTGCAGTAAATGGAAAGAAATTTCAATAGAAGAAGAAGAAGCACAAGTGTGAAGGAGTCTACTAGCTTGTATGAAGAGCAACATTCAGCCTGATCCTATTGGTTATTAAAGTTTAAGGTGGCAGCTCTTACCCAGCACCTGGAGAAATGGGTGGGGGTGAAAAATGGAGAGAGACCTGTAGGCTTGCTGTGGAATTTACCTGTTGTCCTCTAGGTGAAAGAAAGTAGCAATGGATTAGAAGGGGTTACTAATCTTTCTGTGCTAAGAACCCCTTAGGCAATATGATATCATATGACCTTAGAATAATATTTAATCATAGTCCTTTAATTGCATAAAATAAATTTATATTGAAATTGAATTATCAAAATATTTAAACAACATATAACATAGTAACATGTTTGCATTTTATGAACACATTGAATGAGTTGTAATTTCAGGTACTTATTAGTATCAATAACCTTTTGTAATATCTGCAACTGTAGTTTCATGTGCAAAGACCTATTGTACCCCTATTGGTGACAGTTGGTAGGAAAATTATAAGTACTTCTGGCACTACTCTAGTTTATTGCTCATTCTAAAGGTAGAGTCAGATTCACTTTTTAGAAGGGTCATGCTTGTGACCTTGTTGGCATAGATTTGAAAGTAGAAAACCTGATTAGAGACAAAGAGCTAATGCAAAGGGAGAACCATCTGGGCCTGAACCAGGATGATATGAGTAGAAACTAAGAGAACAGAATGACTTAAGGAAATTTAGGAGCTTAATTCCAGAGAACTTTGTGACAGAAGAGAAGTAGCAGGTGGGGAAAAGGGCTTCCCTGGGTTTACAACTTAGGCAGTAAAGACTTTGGGAGGTGAGGCATGACTATGGTGATGGCTTCAGGGACGATGATGATTTTGTTTTAGGTAAATTGTGATAGTATCCTTGAGCCCATTGGGTAGTGACATCCATTGTGCAGTTATACATGAGTTTGAAGCCCTGGGAAATTACCTGGCCTGGAGCTATGGATTAGTGAGCACCCAGGTGCCTGTGAAGGTGAGAGAGAAGAAGATGTGACTCAGACAGAGGATGTCATATAAGTACAAGGGGCAAAGCATGGCTCTTTATTGTGTACCGGTGTTTAAGGCATAGATGGAAGACAAGGAACACATGAAAGTATTAAGAGAAAGAACAGTCAAAGAAATATGAGAAGAATCAAGATAGAATATGTAAGACAACAAGGGGGAAGCATCTACAAGAATTAATGCCTCAACAGAGTCAAACACATTAGAAATAAGCAGTTAGAGTAAGCATGGAAAGCTATGTTCCGGGCTTTATAGTGTGGAAATAATAGATAATCTTTGCCAGGGCACATTAGTTTAATAGCAGGCTTAGAAGCTATAAAGTAATGGAGATATCAGGGACTTTGAAAGAAAATAGGAAGCAAGGAATGAAATCTATGGATATAGATGAATGTTCTGGGAAGTTTGGAAAGAACACTAGACAATGTCCATAGAATAAAGTTCAGCAGAGTGGGAGAGAATTAAAATACAGAAGAGAGATTCTAGTTATTGGTGAAAGTTGATAGAAAATGGCATTGCCCAGGTGTTGTGAACGGCCTTGGATGGTCAGATGGGCCCCACACCCCTGAAACTGAAGGCAGACAGTAAGGTCACAGAGCAGGAAACCCACATATCTTTATAGTTTATTGCCCCAAATTTCTTGGCAAAGTACAAAATATTAACTATTTCTACCACTAGTTGGTGGGGACAGGTGGCTTGACGACAATGTTGAAGACCTGCAATAGTGCTGAGGCAAAAGTGAAATAGTTTACAGGTTCCAGCACAACTTACTTTTTGCTTTCATTTACTCTACAAGCAGCATTCCCGGTAGCCTTTACATACATTTACCTGTCCTCTCCCGTGACCCCTTGGTGATTATTTTACTGACGCAGCAAGGCAATACGAAAGAAACTCACCCCTAAATGAGGTGGAAAAATTCTTCCTGTGTTCTCTTTTCAAATTCATATAGATTCCAAACAGTGGGCTTCCAGAAACATCAGCTTCAATGCAGATGATGTTGATGATAGGGATTTTAAAATTACACTAGTGTGGCTGATGTAGCTATGGGGGGATGGGCACTCTCCTTACAAAATATCGTACGAACTGGCAGATCTTCTGTCTGTCAGGCAGGCTAGAGAGAAAAGAGGTGGAAAGAAGTCTGCAAAATATTCATTGCCACTTACAAAATTATGAACACCATGAGGAAAACAGTTGTTGGAATTTTCATAGCCCTTGAACTCATCATATAGATTAAAGATTATTGTAGGGGGAAGGCAAACATTGTTCATTGAGTGAAAAATGATTTGCAGAGAACTTACTTACACATTTGGTTCTTTCAGCTATTAATTCTGTACTTATCAAGAGCCCATCCATCAGAACAGTGCTTCTCAGCTAGTGGATAAGAAAGCTTTATCCTAAGTTATGGAGACAAAGTTTTATTGACTTTTGCCCTTTTCAACTCCCACCTGAGACCCAGTTGGAGAATTGGGAGTCCACTTTTTTTGTTTGTTTTGTTTTTTGTTTTTTTTTGAGAAAGGGTCTCACTATGTAGTTGAGATTGACCTGGAACTTACTATGTAGCTCAGGCTGGTCTCAAACTTGCAGTGATCCTCCTGCCTCAGCCTCCCAAGTGCTGGGATTACAGGCATGTGCCAACGCCCAGCCTAGCTTTATCCTAAGTTATGGAGACAAAGTTTTATTGACTTTTGCCCTTTTCAACTCCCACCTGAGACCCAGTTGGAGAATTGGGAGTCCACTTTTTTTGTTTGTTTTGTTTTTTGTTTTTTTTTGAGAAAGGGTCTCACTATGTAGTTGAGATTGACCTGGAACTTACTATGTAGCTCAGGCTGGTCTCAAACTTGCAGTGATCCTCCTGCCTCAGCCTCCCAAGTGCTGGGATTACAGGCATGTGCCACCACGCCCAGCCAGGAGTCCACTTTTTTTTACTTAACCACATTATTTGATCTAAGGGAAGAAGTAAAAATAAATATCTAACTTGATCGTATGGGACAATAATGGTATCCTTGAATAGTGAGTTACAAAATGTGCATATATCTGTATCTGACTTTCATTTTTCTTTTTAAGCACAGTAAAATATTAAAGTGTTTTGCAGAGCAGGCATCAAAGGAGAGGCCAGAGGTCACATGTGCTTAACTTTTGTGTCCCATATCCCAGAAGTATTCTTCAGTCTTTCAGGGAACTCCCTTCCTGTGCCTTCATTGAATAATAGGGTTCCACAGAGATCTTTTTATGTATTTGTTTACATTGTGAAATAGAGCCTTAGTTTAGGCAAAGGGGTTTTGTTCATTTAATTTTTAAATGCACTCATGCACTGGTCCTATTGTTTGAGATGGTTGTTATGCAATTATTAGGTGAGAGGATTAAGATTTTGTTAATACTTGCTGAAATATATATTCTCAATTTTTTTCTAGGAAATCTTTTGTTGATTATATTTGTGAGTTATTTTGGAACTAAGCTGCATAGACCTATAATGATTGGTGTTGGATGTGCAGTTATGGGATTAGGTTGTTTCTTAATATCGCTACCTCATTTTCTCATGGACCGGTAAGTATTTCAGTCTTTGATGATATTTTAAATTCACCTTTCACCTACAGGAAATGAGGTTTGGAATTTCCTGTCTAGGAACAATGCTTTCCAGAACTACAGAGTGCTGAAATAAGAAGAGGAAGATGTAGATTCTGTTCTCTTCCACCAACTGGTTTTGTGTATTTTACTGTTTCATCTCCACTAACACAGTCACATTTTGCCAGTTTGTGAGAGTTTTCTCTGGGACACTTCATTCAGGAAGATGAATCTGATGAAAATATTCTTAGGACCTGCAAGTATGTGGGATTACCCCTTGCTCAGGCCTGGTTAGACACTGCTAATTACAGTGTGGTTTGGTTTGCCTGTAGGTCAGCAAGACACATACCATTTTGCACATTAATTTTTATTTTAATTTTTGCCAAAACCTTATATATTCAAAATTATAAAAATAAAAATTTATTAAAATTTCCTTTCCCTTATTCCTGTCTTCCAGAGGCAGCCACTTGCAAATCTTTCAGCTCTTTCTTTTATTTGCCTCTTTAACTTATTAGCTTTTAATACTTCAGTTATGCAATACACATTAAATTCCTTCTATAAAGTCATATTCACTATTTAATTTTTATTTCTGGAAATGTTTTGCACCAATGAATCACGCTGTTATCT